TATAGCTAGACAACTGGGAAATAATTTTATATAGAGGCTATCCTTACAAATACACTTTATAGCAACATACATGATAGTATAAAACACATAGCATTCACAGGACTTAGGAGACCCCTAGCCAAGGTCACAATAATAGAAATAAAGGGAATGATTCCGATAGGGTAAATAAAATCCTATCGGAAAAGTGAACCTTTAGATACACTAGGACAAGAAATACCCCATCAACAAATTTAGGAAAAATATTTTGATCAAATTTCTTGTTTTATTAAAACACAGCAACATATCAGGGATTTACAAAAACACATAAAACATTTTTTTTTTTGGTTAAGTAGTGGGGGCATCTGTCTGGTGACCCCCATTCCTCCCCCCAAAAAAAAGTTTAGTACACACTGTTTTGCAGAATTGTCATCTAGAAAAAGGGCTTGCGTTTGCACTGTGAGCATAACATTGTGTCAAAAATGATCTTCGAACATGAACATTGCAGGTATAAATTTAGGGTTAGGGTGCATAATTTTCTTCTTCTATGAAATGCCACTGACTTCTCTGGTCAAGTGGATAATATATTTATGCTTTGTTTTAATACATGTATCAAAAAATATGGACCTTCTTGATCTCACTTGTGCATTTGAAGTTTTATTATTTTTTCTACTAGGTCACTGATTGCGGCATTAAACTTGTAAATAAAAATTGGTCCATACCCCCTAAATTTCTTGTAGCCCATACTCGTGTATACAAAGCAACTTTTAGCTGAACTTTATTACATTTTCGCCGAAGAGTCTGGGTAAATGAGGTTCTACTGTGTTGCTGTTAAAATGATTCACAAGTCTCTTGGACTTAACACTACAAGTTAGACGCATTAGATAAAAGTGCGATTCGTGAACGTCGTCGAATACGAAACTTCGGGCATAAAGGAGGCAGCTAGTTGTATCAGGGATTCAATTTTTTTCGGAATCATCTCACGAACTTAAGTCCAAATTACATTAACTATATAGCATTTAGGAAAACAAACGGCAGTTTAATTGGAAAATAGCCTGGAAGAAATAAAATCAAATCCCACATTTTCCGATTCATGCGAATACAACTATAGGTTCTTTGTTTTTCGAAGGCTTCGAGTATTGAAATGGATGGTTGGTTCTGATGAGAGGATTACATTATATAAATTAAATGTCAAGATAATTCCTGGGCATGTTCTAGTTATACAGGATCTTGGAGAAGATATATAGTTTCAAGGCTCAGACAGTGCTTTTGAGTGAAAATAATGTTAGTAGAGTTTAGAGCTGCCGATAAAGGACTTTGTCTCTTATGCATATGTAAAGGAATGTTTAATTTAAAATGTTATAATTTTCGTTGTGACTTTCATAGTGCAGCTGGATATTTGTTTATAAAAGGAAATGTTAGATTGACGTATTGATGAATTGATCAGTTAAGGTTTGTTGTGGCATTTTGTTCACTTAAATTTGCATTGAGGCATATTGATCAGTTCAGTCTGCATTAAGACGTAATGATCAAGTAAGTTTGCATTAAGATTTAATGATCAAGTAAGTTTGCATTAAGACTTAATGATCAAGTAAGTTTGCATTAGGACTTAATGATCAAGTAAGCTTGCATTAAGACTTAATGATCAAGTAGGTTTGCATTAAGACTTAATGATCAAGTAAGTTTGCATTAAGATTTAATGATCAAGTAAGTTTGCATTAAGACTTAATGATCAAGTAAGTTTGCATTAAGACTTAATGATCAAGTAAGTTTGCATTAAGACTTAATGATCAATTAAGTTTGCATCAAGAAGTAATGATCAAGTAAGTCTGCATTAAGACGAAATGATCAATTAAGTTTGCATTAAGACGTAATGATCAAGTAAGTTTGCATTAAGACTTAATGATCAATTAAGTTTGCATCAAGACGTAATGATCAATTAAGTTTGCATTATACATAATGATCAATTAAATCTGCATTGAGACGTAATGATCAATTAAGTCTGCATTACGACGTAATAATCAAATTTACATTAATACGTAATGATCAAGTAAGTTTGCATTGAGACGTAATGATCAATTAAGTTTGCATTAAGAAGTAATGATCAATTAAGTTTGCATTTTACATAATGACCAATTAAGTCTGCATTGAGACGTAATGATCAATTAAGTTTGTATTAAGACTTATTGATCAATTAAGTTGGCATCAAGAAGTAATGATCAATTAAGTTTGCATTTTACATAATGATCAATTAAGTCTGCATTACGACGTAATGATCAATCAAATTTGCGTTAATACGTAATGATCAATTAAGTTTGCATTAAGATGCTATATATTTACACCATTTTGTGTCTTTATAACCTCCCTGAAGAGCATTCGTGTTCCAGTCTAATGACCTTTCTGAAGTACGTATATAAATAGATTTTTGGCAATGGCTTTGCAGATCATTGTCTATGAAGATGGGATGTAAGAGGGTCAGTGGCCCGTCTGATCTTGACAGTAAAATATTTAGTTTACATTTTTCGTCAATAAATATTGCTGACATTGTCGCAAGTGTCGACAGTTTATCCAAGTATGTCGCTATTGTTGTCCTATGAAAATAAGTTTATAAAGATGAAAAAAAAATTGGAACAGGAATTCAAGATAATTCTGGTCATTTTTAATGAAGTCTCAAAATACATGGAATTCAGCTTGTCAAAAATGTTTTAGCTTATTTAAAAGTTACGAAATGAGTTATGGAATATGCTGCTGATGAAATGGATAATGCCAAAACAAATATGGGTGATAAAATGTTTTAGAAGATAGAGATGCTGCTTTAAAACAAAAAAGACAAAATCTAGATATAAATATTGCTGTTGATTAATTGTGTTCTAAAAGCCGTAGAAATATGAAAACTACTACTTTGTACTGGGGATATGATCCCCGGTTAAATACCTTTATACCCGTTCCTTAGGATTCTTGCATTACTTTAATGAATAGCAACAATTACCTGAATAAACGGAGTCAGGAATCATTTTTCCAATTCTGGAAATTAAAATTAAGCCAAATTTCATTTCAATCCTGTGCTTTCTTTTTTGTCAGATTAATTCTTAACTTTGTTTTAAATTTACTAGTTTTTAATTATTCCTAATTTACAACATACATCTTTTAAGTCTTTGTTTTTAAGGAGACTTGGTATGTTTAGCCTTACAGTTTTATATGTTTGTCAATTCTGCTTCATATGCTTTGTTCAACTTTATGCAATTTTCTTATCACAATTAACATGCCCTGAATTATATGCATGTATGCATGCATGCATGTACGTACGTACGTATGTATGTAACTGCTCCGGTAGCCTTATGGTTAGAGCATCCGCCTCAAATGCGGGAGGTCGTAGGTTCGATCCCCTGTCGAGTCATACCAAAGACTTACAAAAATGGTACCCACAGCTGCCCTGCTTGACGCTCAACATTAAGCGGTTAGTGTTAGGACTGTTCGTCCTGGTGTCAGGATAATGTGACTGGGTGGGACATCATGCTACATGTCTGCGGCATGATGCCCTAGTGCTAAATATCACTATAAACTGCCACACTGCAGACATCGTAGTGATATGACTGAAAAATTGTTAAAGCTACGTTAAAAATTATAAACACCACACCACGTACGTATGTATGTATGTATGTATGTATGTATGTATGTATGTATGTATGTATGTATGTATGTATGTATGTATGTATGTATGTATGTATGTATGTATGTATGTATGTATGTATGTATGTATGTATGTTTCACTGTATGGCATGTTTGCTTTATGTGTCATATAAATGCATATTTGTATCTAAACTACTCATGTTGCTTTATTTGTATAAACGTTTAGTTGATTGCTTGTAGGACTTATAGCGCTTCACATCTAATGTTTTTTGTTGTAACTTCAGACGTGAAATAAAATATCTTTGGTCTTTCGGCATTATTAAATTTTTGCTGTTGGTTTTGTTTTAGGGTGACCGTCAGGAGGAAAAAAAGGTGTCTGAAAGATAACTTTACAGTTTTATTTCGTCTATCTGCCTTTTACTTTTCTCGAGAACCTGTATATTTTTGCAAGTATAACAGCCATAAAACAGTACCACAATTATAGACTGGCATGAAATCCGTAAATAATCTACCCAATCTCTCTCTCTCTCTCTCTCTCTCTCTCTCTCTCTCTCTCTCTCTCTCTCTCTCTCTCTCTCTCTCTCTCTCTCTCTCTCTCTCTCTCTCTCTCTCTCTCTCTCTCTCTCTCTCTCTCTCTCTCTCTCTCTCTCTCGCATTAGCAAAAGATGGTTGCATTGGTTTCATACGTACTTAAGAATTAAAGAAACAAGCAACTAACCGTCGAAACGAAACTCTGAGCAACTGATGGCCTTCAGTTCGAAACAGTTCTCCTCTCGTCCCCCCCCCGCCCCAGCCGACTCTCCCCAATCGCATCGATCTGAAGCATTCACGGGTTTCACGCTATGGATAGGACAAAAGATAAAAGATATTAAAAGACTTATGAAAGAAAGAAAAAAATAAGATAAAGGTAACGGTGTGTGTGTGTGTGTGTGTGTGTGTGTGTGTGTGTGTGTGTGTGTGTGTGTGTGTGTTCAAGCTATGGGGCCAAATAAGGAAACTAGTCTAAAGCCCTCTTCTCACTATATGTTAAAACAGAAACATGTCTTGCATGATGCTTTACGAAGCCATACCCCGATACCATAAATCTATTTGGCACGGGCGAGGAAATGGCACTAGAGTAGACATTCCTGCATGAAATTCTGTAGCTTTTTTCCCAGAAGGAAAAATCTGTTATAAAATCCTTTAGGAATCCATGGTAACTCTGATGTAGAACGTCGCAGTTGTAATGCAAGGTTCGCGGGTTCGATAGCCTCCTAAGCCAGCACGGGTCGGCTGGTTCGATGTGTCATTATGAAAGGCGATTGTCTCCCATTTACTCTGCGTCATAATGCCAGTATTGTGTTGAAAGCACCTTTAAATCCAACCAAATGACTAGATTGTTTCCAACCGCTCCGGTGGTTTAGTGGCTAGAGCGTCCTCCTTGAATGCGGAAGGTCGTGGGTTCGTTCCCCGGTCAAGTCATATCAAAGACTTAACAAAATGTTACTAACAGCTGCCTCTCTTGACGCTCAGAATTAAGAGGTTAGTGTTAGGACTAGTCAGCCTGATGTCAGCATAATGTGACTGGGTGGGACATCATGCTACATGTTTGCGGCATGATGCCCCTATGCTAGACCTCAATATAAATTGCCACACTGCAGACATCGTAGCGATATGACTGAAATATTGTAAAAGCTACGTTAAAAATCATAATCACATCACATGACCAGATTGATTCCACTGGGAAAAGCCGTTAATGGATTATTATCCCACCAAAGTGCATGCTTCCTTATAAGGTATATATTGTGTCTGTACTACTTAAGTTTCTTCTTCCCTGCAGACACTTGAACATAATTTACAAATCAATGACCATCCACAATTCTTTACTAATTTTGAAAATAACTTCTTGAGTAATTCATGAACTTTTTAATGAGTAACGATGCTGTATATCTTTCCATCTGCTAACATGATAAACCTATCAATCAAATTTGAGATTGATAAAGCAGACATCTCGTATTTGTTGTGAGTGATTTGTCGAAGACCAAAGTATATCACTTCACATTGTACGTTTATCTGCTTTAATGTTTCAAGAATGCGTGAACTATAAATCATATATTTGGCAGATTATAAATAACGTACCTTTCTTTGACGAAAACAAATTTGTGCAAATTCTGAGAGATTTGATCAAACATAATCATATTAGATATATACACAATCTGAAGATGAATCTCAACAAGTGCTGACACAGTTGACAAAAAGTATATACTAACGCATATTCGTGTATAGCAACAGCCTTTATTACGTTGCCATTACTTTTTCCATGCTTTGGCGATGGGTTAGCCATTTTGACACGTGATTTAGTGAAGTCAACCGTACTTAATACATCTGACGTACACTTGCTATCGGAATAAATTTATATTCGTGTTTGTTTTTTTTTTTTAATCTGTGTTGTAGGTGATTGATATAAAGCTTATATGCTTAAAAATTGATCATGTAAAATAGTATTGTTCACGCATTAGGTAACATGCTGCTTGCTTTCAAAATCGAATTTAAGGAATCTTAATTTTTCACTCGTGACCTAAGAATATAGTCATTCATCAGTAAATTTTATCTCATCTGTTTCAAACCGCTCCGGTCGCCTAGTGGTTAGAGCGTCCGCCTCGATCCCCGGTCGAGTGATACCAAAGACTTACAAAAATGGTGCAAACATCTGCTTCGCTTGACGCTCAGCATTAAGAGGCTAGTGTTAGAACTGGTCGGCCTGGTGTCAGGATAATGCTACATGTCTGAGGCATGATGCCACAGTGCTAGACATCACTATAAACTGCCACACTGCAGACATCGTAGCGATATGACTGACAAAAATGTTAAAGCTACGTTAAAAATCATAATCGCATCACATCAACTGTTTCAAATGTGTAACCACCCTACATTCATCAAGCTTTTAGATAGGTTCACCTTTGACCTAAATCTGAGTATAGATGTCATGACACAAATTTTCTCGAAGTAACGTGTGTGCTCGTTTATAAGTCGAATCCAACAGCAAGAAATATAGATCGTCGAACACATTGCGCCGGCAGTCACTTTGCTTTTAATAATTGGAATTTGTTGTGGGCAAGTTTAAATGATAGATTCACTATATTCATGATATCTGGACTTCTTAATAGGTTCGATTTCGTTTGGCCAAGTATTGGCTTTTTCCCGGACTTTGTTAGTCCCTGTTATGAACCTATCTGAGATACATCTTTTTGCTAATCTCTCTCTCTCTCTCTCTCTCTCTCTCTCTCTCTCTCTCTCTCTCTCTCTCTCTCTCTCTCTCTCTCTCTCTCTCTCTCTCTCTCTCTCTCTCTCTCTCTCTCTCTCTCTCTCTCTCTCTCTCTCTCTCTCTCTCTCTCAGTGATATGGATTTTTCTGTCACACATAGTGGACCCACAAGGAATGGGCCAGAATAAAAGATTCTCGTTTGTGGGGGGAGGGCCCGACAGATAGCCAAAAAAAGGAAAAAGTGATTCATGTATTTCTGTTACCCCCAAGTGCGGTGTAATGTTTTCCTTTTCTTAAAAATAGAATATTGATCAAAAAATTTTTTTTGAGAATTTTTGTCGGGGTTTTTTTTTCCTAATGTATCTAAAGGTTCGTTCATCCGATCAATTTTCAATTACTTTTTCGGAGTCTCTCGCCTTTTCCAAATTTGGGTGACCTTTGCCAGATGACTCCTAAGTCATGTGTATGCTATATGTGTTATGTTATATTGTGTGTTTGCTATATAGTGTTCTGTAAGTACGGTAGTAATATCAAATCATAAAGATCTCCCAATTTTTCTACTGTATTCCCTATGCGTATTATATTTATTATTTTTTATTTAAAAAATTAAGTAATTTTGAATTTGGAATTCTTTTACTTATATATTGGAAGTGAGACGATGCACCTAAAATGATAAAAAGACCTATTGTTATACGTGATTTGGTTTTTGTTCTGAGTCGTCTCTCTCTCTCTTTCTATTAATGTTAAATAAATGATAATATTAGCTATTATCATGATGAGGATACTTGGTTTGCGTAGTGCAGTGAGTAACATTTGCTTTTTTATTATGTCACACCTTGCATTTAGATGCATTCCAATTCCTTTCTATTTACGATATACTGAAGACAAGCCGAATAACCTCTAATTTAGAGGTTTAAAATATGGGGAAAAAGAAGAAAAAAAATGTTTTACATTAGGTTTTGGTTAGTTGTTAGTCTGGGTCACCCATTTTAGTTGTGTTCCTATTTCCCGTATATGAGTACTGCATGTCTATGTGTTACCCACGGATTTTTCTGAGGCTCTTTCGCAGGCCTGTTCACTTCGCGTGGCGCCCTGTGGCATAGCTTCACGATGTCTACTTATCTTACTTCTTCCGTGTGTAGGTTCCCTGTCCCGCAAAAAGACAAAATAGTAATTAGATGATATTTATTAAAGGTTAGAATTATTGGATGACATGTGTTCGATATTGTTCTATATTATTAGTGGTTTTAGTTGTAATAAAATATTTTTTGTACAAATTCTGTAAAGCACAGTGCCCAACAGTGAGGAAAGGTACATTATCTGTGCTAAAGTGACGATAAGTCATTTTGCTAGGGGAAACTTTCTGTTGAAAACAGCCCAATAATTAATCTGAAATTTAAAGAAAATATTTTTGGACAGCATAATTGCATCAAGGAAAGTAAATTATTTAATAATATTAGTTATAAAAGATATAATAATACTGGTTTTAGGAAAAGCAGGTTATTATTTGTAAAAGAACCATAATTATTATTTGGTCATTGTCATTAAATACAATAAATGTATTTCTGGATAATAATTGTTTTGTTTTGTTTTTTATTTTTTTGTTTGTTTGTTGTATTTTGTTTGTTTGTTTGTTTGTTTGTTTGTTTGTTTGTTTGTTTGTTTGTTTGGTTGGTTGGTTGGTTGGTTGGTTGGTTTTGGGGGGGTTGAACTGTTGGCTTTATAATTACATGTATACTACTGATCTGTATCAAAAATTACGGATAGACTTCTATTAAACTACAGACAGAGCCGGGAAAGATAAACAGGTCTGAGAACCTGAATGAGGTGTGATTTTCACACCTTTGTGAGGCCTTTGCTATTTGCTGATTATGAAATGACTTGTCAATATCACACATTTTTCTACCAGGTACCTTTGTTGCTACAACTTTGTTATTTAAATAACTGCCATTGCTTACCTGGCTTCAACAGGTCAAGTGAAATAAACGTTATAATTGAGTTCATTTTCTCAGGTTGACCCATAGATAAAACGAAAGATGAAGGAGAACAGAAAGGAGAGAAAGAGAAAGGGCAGAGAGGGAAAAGGGGAAGAAGAAAAAGCTGGTAGCAACATCGAACCAAATGAAATAGAAACTGAAAAAGATTTGAGTGGAAATAGATCGGAAAGCGTACAAAATGGAATTGATAACGGAAACGTAAATGAAAACGGATTAGGAAACGATAACGAAGATGATACAGAAATTAAAGAAAAAGATGAACAAGAAGAACAAACAAATACAACTGCAACAGCAAAACAACCATTAATAGTGGACAACAAATAAATACAACTACAAATAGCCAAACGAATACAACATCAGTAGAAGAGGAGGAACCCTTAGCTTATCCAACTCTACAAATATCTTAATATCATGGGGAAAAAATAAATCTACAGTTTTTTTCCAATAATATATATTCTATTTTAAAACCATTATATAATTTGTTTTCTATTAAAAATGGAAAATAGAAATCGGTGACCTGGTGGGATGAGAGAGGGGAAAAAACTCTGCATGGCTTTAATTAATATAAATGGGATTAATGAAGAAAAAAATTGAAATTAGGTATAGAAAATGACTATGATATAATCATGATACAGGAAATACATAATGGACTTACAAATGATTTAGTGTCTTTATTAGAAAGAGGAAAAATGGTTTTGTAATTTTAAGTATTGCAAAATTTGAGGGAAGAAAAGTGGAGTAGCTACAATAATAAAAAATAACAGAGGAATAACGTGGGAAAGAAACCAGATGGGAATTTTTAATGGGAAGATTGATACATATAATGTTAGAAAACATGCATATAATTAATATCTTCTTCTCAGCAAATAAATATAACAAAATTTGAATTTCTGAAACAATTTGATAAATACTTAAGTGAATATACAATGGACGATTTGGTTTTAGGGAGACATTAACTGGGTAGGGGAAGAAATAGACAGAAGAGGGGAACTAACTCCAAATGACAAAATGTTTAAAGGAGAAATGACGAAATTTTTTTATTTTTTTTTAAAAAACACAAATTGTACGATGATTACAGACTATTGAGTCTTCTTAGAATTGAATTCACATATGAATACGGGGATAATAATGCAAGTAGACTAGAAAAATTTTATGTAACAAATTTTCATTTTAACAAATATAAAGACTTAAAAGTAACCAATGTAAAAATTTCCAACCACA